TCTCCTTAACCAAGAAAATTGTGATAGTTCTTTCCCTGTTCAACTGGAACTCCTTTAGCAGTAGATCCTGGTCGATATTGTACTGCTTGATCATCAAGGAAAAAACCTCTCCACCTCTCTCAGCCGCCGGCCGCCGCTGTCGGTTGCCTTTTTTTTTTATTCTTCGAGGCTCGTTGATCTCTTGTGATCTCTTGGTCATCAACACACGATCACAACACGAAAAAAATAATTTACAAAATTACATAATTCGATCCTAGATCCAACGAATAGATGTACATGTTTTTCTAAACAAATAATTAAATCTATTCGGTCAACCACCGTGCGAATAATTATTACAAACATTCATCAATCAATTTCGCGACATGTCCGAGGCTTTAAAACCAAATTTAAAACCATACATCACATTCAACAACATTCATCAAACACATAATCAGCCATAATATTGGTTAAATTATTTTTCCTGCAAAACCTAGTTATGCAAATATAATCCAATATATGGCTGCGTTTGAACACATCTTGTCAGATAAAGCCGTAAAAATTTGAACTTTGTACAAAACGAATTAACCAAGTTCTCTGATACCACTTGTTGGGATATGTGAGGATCTCGTTATCTACAAGTCACGAATTCAATAGCAAACGTAAACCTATGCGCAGCGAATCTAAAGGTTTAACGTAGAAAACTTACGGCTAAAAATTTATGTAGATCTGGTTGACCATGAACGGTTGAACGCAAATGATTGACCACAAATCACGTCTTGGGTTGCACAAACAAGATCAAATCAAAACTGGATTAAACGGGTGCAAACGGATCAAAACCAAACTTGCAGCTAGACAGCTTGCGACGGCGCGTGCGGCGTCTGCTGGCGGCGATCTCGACGGCGATGGAAAGCTCTCGCCGAGACGGTCGTCTGGGTATGCTGTGCGTCTCAATCGGACCTCCGGTTAGTTCTGTAGGATGAAATATATTTCGTCTCGGTTTACCTACAGATCTTCTACTGTATTACTCAGTACACTCTTCTTCAACTTGTATCAGTGGAGCAACAACAAGAAGATAAAGCTCGAATGAGATCTACAGAGAGAGAGTACGGGCGGCGTGTTTGTCTCGTGAATATAAGATGGAATCTCTTCTCATGAGCTTAATGATGTATATATAGAGCTACAGTAGGGACCCTTAGGAGATTAGCAAAAACGGCTCCTTAGTTAATTAGACTAACTGTGAACCAAGCCCACAACTCTAATTAATTAAATAATATTAATGGGTCACCAACATTATATTATTGCACTCCCTTTTCCTAGCCCAAATTACATTTGAGACTCCAATAATAATTACTCGATTTACCTCCCCACGTTTGAGATATAATATCCATTAATTAATTCGATTACTGACAATAAAGAATTAATTAATTCATTATTATTTCACCGAAGCTAGCGCTCGTTCATCACATTCTTATTATGCTGGAACTTAATCCACCTGTAGGGTTTAGCATAACAATCCTTCATGAACTCACTCCGGGGACATCATCAAACTAACGCACATGGTGACCGTAAATATCAACAACACATCTTATATATAATAATATTAACCAAAACAGTAGGAATATTAATCTAGCGAACTGAACCTCACCCATGTGAATTAAAGTAATATATATCACATATATCTGTCTGTTTAATATCTTACGGGTTAAGAGAATGCAATAATTAACCGAGACCTAGTTCATTTACGACGATCAGTATAAAATGAACTTCTCCTCTCTGGGATTCTGTTCAATACATAAATGTACTAGTGCAACTAATCAGTCAAGACAAACTGTACAGTTGACACTACAACCGTTCGGATGGGGTGTTCATGTCCATCTAGGTTGTGAACAACTATTCTTGATTGTTCGCAAGTGACTGATAGAGTGATCTTCGGTTCGCCCGATGACGACCCACCCTATCTAAGTGTAGAACAACAGAACGTAGAACTTGTTTAATCTAACACGATTCTCATTCATAAAGGGCAAATGTATAATAACATGCAAAGTCAAGCTTTCAGTATATAACACTAACACCGTCAATGCTCTTTGTTGCCGAACGTTTTCCCTTACTTTAGCCCAAGGCACAATGTTGGTAAGTTGGTATCACTCTCTACCTACAAACTCTATTCAGAACTGGGATCAACTGCGATCGCCGCTTCGGATGCACTTTATGGAATCGCAAGTATGCATGATCCCCAAAGAATCCATCACCATTCATCAATTTTTTTTTTTTCTCAAGTTGATAAATTTTAGCCTATTTTTTAGTCTGTGTCTTTGTTGGCGTAATGAATAATGATGTACTAAAATAATATATTGCAATTATATTGATAATATAATTAATAAAATCTATACATATATAATTTGGAGCAACAGAGCATTTAATTTTATTATTTTCGTTTCCCCCTTAGAGAACTAGCAGCATTAAATTTTATTATTTCGTTTTTCCTCCTAAAACAGTTACAGAACGCCAAATTTAATATTTTTTTACTTTTTTTCTGTAATCAATTCTACATAAAATAACGTTTTCTTTGACTTATTTTTTAGATCCACAATTATAATAACAAGATGTCTGCAAATTTAGTTAGTATATATTTCAGTCTAAAAGTACATATAAAAAGATTCTGCTCGAATCCTATATGTATCATGTTCGCAGTAATGATATATGATTAAACATTTCACCCATTGGCTGGTGGAAGCAAATTTGTAATAAAAATTCTAATATATATAATAATTTCCAGCCTAAATATTAAAATACAATATCATGCAAGCTGCCTTTTTAAAAATCTATAAAAATTCATCTATACCATGATCGTAAACATACCAAGCTGATCAATTTTAATTAACACATAATACATAGTAAGTGCACATACACATGCATGATTTTAGTGTAATATATAATCTTCAATCAATTTAGCATAAAAATAATTCCTAGAGACACAATACGTAAACAATAAATGCATGAATGATTATAGCATAATGTTCAACAATAACAATTTTTTCATCAAAATAAATCAGAAAAACATTAAAACTGAAAAAATCGTAGACGCACAATACATAATCAATATCACATGCATGATTAATTTTAGCGTAATAATCAACAATTAATTTAGCATAAAAATAATTCTTAGGCACACAATATATAACCAGTATGAATGATTATTTTAGCACAATATTCAACAATTCATCAAAATAAATCAGAAGAACGTTAAAATTGGAAAAACAATCCTACAATTGGAAAAAAAAAAAAAAAAATCCTACACGCAATACATAATCAGTTAATGATGCATGACGATGAACAAGAGTGAAAGTCAATCCTTGTCACATGTCGGCTTAGTAGTGAAGAACCCTATTTTCAGTCATGGGCAGTTGTACGTGGATCTTTTAGAGTCACGAATCGACAAGGTTCGAAGATAATGGTATGTAGTGATGAGGACTCTAACGATAGGATTACCATTCATATAAAAAAATCTTTAATAATATTTAGAATTCCTTGTTTGATTCACATTTTTTCTTGAATTAAATTGTGATTAGTATTTTTGTTTTTTCTTATTTTATAATTTTCTTTTCTATGAATCTGCCTCCGTGCAAATGCACGGGTTGATTACTTGTCATAACTAAACACGCTTCTTATCTTAATTCTCATCAATTTTAGCCCTTATTTTAATTATCATCCATTATCTTATTTTTTCAAGTTGATAAATTTTAGCCAATTCATCATTTTTTTTTTCAAGTTGATAAATTTTAGCTCTTTTTGAGCCTGTGTCTTTGGTTGTGTATTAATGAGTTAAGATTATATATTATAATTATACTGATATTATAACTAATGAAATCTTAACTAAACAAATCTCCTATCTTATTAATATTAACCTCTTGATTTACGGATGCCACAATTCGTTACAAATTTGTGTTGCAACAAGGATAAAAAAATTGTAAGTAGAACTAATAATGTGTGTACGAATAAATTTTTTGGAATTTGAAATAAAATACCAATGTACAGTAATTTTTGTTTTATGAAACTTCCATTTATTTATTATGTATATACTTACAAACTAAACTTTTTTTTTTGTTCAAATTATTTTTTCGTGCACCCGTGTAGTACACGGTGTCTTACTACTATTTATTTAAATATAACAAATATGCACTATGGATGAACTATATATGCATTTCGTATGAAGTAAATATGCACTCCGTATGAACTAAATATGCATCATGTACATATTAATTTAAATTTAATAAATATGCACTATGTACGAACTAAATATGCATTTCGTATGAACTAAATATGCATCATGGATGAACTAAATATGCATCATGTAAATAATCAATTTAAACATAATAACTAAATATGCGTTTCGTATAAACTAAATATGGATGATGAATGAACTAAATATGCATTACGTATATAATTAATTTAAATATAATTAAAATATCATCAATTAAATATATATCATTTATAATTAAAATATACGTGAAGTATTATTAAAGTATGCACAAAAATTAAACTACATCTGCATTATTTATATAATACAAACTCAAGGGTCATATTGCATATTATCAAACTTTAAATAAATTATAGACTTTACTCGAAGGATCTAACTGCAATAACAACCTTTAAGTTTCAGAAATTGCAACTAAATCCCTCAAGATAATCTAATTCTCGAAATCTAACCCAGCCCAAAAAATCAGAAATCTGAAACCGAAACCTGAGTCGCCGGCCCCGATCTCCAATCACCCTCCGCCGCCTCCTACGAATCCGCTTCAGTTTCTCCTTCCTCGACTCACTCCCATCCTCAACCAGCGATTTCCCGGTCCAGCCCTCACGACGTGATTGAATTTGTAGATCGCGACCAGGTATTTCAAATCACCCTTGTTCCATGAATTTTTCGGTGCTGCCCATAACACGGAGGATTTTGCATGCTTCGCCTTGGTGTATTTGGGCGCAGTTCATGTGATGAGAACTCCTTCTCGACGGCGTTCCAAAAAATGAAAAAGCACTCCGACAGTAATGGAGATGAGACAGCGACGAACAATCTTCAGCCGAGGCAGAAGGAGAATAAGTTGTGGTGGTTGGTAAGGGTGGTGGGGAGCGGGACGGTGACTAAGAAACGAGATTCCGGTTGAGAAGACAATTGTGGAATTCTCAATTCAAGCATTGACCGGTCAATGGCCTGTGGTCAACGTTGGTCAATGACCGTCAGCCGGCGATTGATGTCGGTCAAGGACCGCCGGCCGACGATTAACGTCGGTCAATAAAAATGTATTAATTTTTCTATAATTAATTTAAATATAATAATTATAATTTTTTATTATTTATTTATTGTATATTTCAGTGGATTAATGTGAGTTATTGATCTACACAAAATGAATGACTATGATTGAATTTCATGTACTCACTTTAATGGTTACGATTGAGTCTAATGGACTCTATATATAAAATATATAATATTTCGATTGATTCATTTGTTTATGTACACATAATCAAGTACGAGTAATAGTAATAATTGAAGTCTTGGACATCGTAATTAAAGCAAAATTGCGGGGTGATGTCGAATTCTTTCAAAAAATCTCAAAGGGAATGGAGAAAAGAAAAGGGTGGGGAGCTGTAATCACATGTGATGCTGTTTGGTTAATGGGTCCCTGCACCCTTTAGGCCTATCCCCTTCGCCCATCCACTCTCTCTCTTGCTTCCTAATTCTGTTTTTCGTTTTTCTTTCTCCTGCCGACAATTATGACCTCTGAGCCACAAACTGTAGAAAATTTGATTGCCGAGTACTGAAAGTTCGTCGAAGATTCGAGTTCTCACCTCTGTGTTCAGCTCCAGCTGTGAGTTCCTGCTTCCATGGCTGATGATAAGGCGAGGACTTCTTCTGTTTTTGTGGTTTTTATTTCTGGGTAGATCTATTTATCTGTCTCTATTTCTGCTAGACTGCAGATCTGGCTTCCTTCGGGATCACCAGTTTTTGCTTTGAAATGTCAGTTTGGGTAGTTTTCTGCTGCTCTTAGACTATTGTCTCTGTTTCCATTTTCTGAAAACTGTGAATTTCACCTTCCGAACTGGGGAGAAATTATTCGAGTCCTGTGAGGATCTTTAATTTGTTTTTGTTGGATATATTGTACCATTGTAACTTTTCTTACCAAAATTGGTGCTCAAATTTTCAAGTCAGGTCTTTCCTGTAATCGTGACTGTTGAAAATGCTTGGTGTTACCTCATGTGATTGAGTTAAGTTTGTATTGGCTGGGTGTGGTAGCAAAGTTCCTTTTACCTTCTGGAGCAGTTCATTTGCCTTGCTTAAAAACTGCTTTGAGTTGCTTGTTCATTTTCTGGGTGATATTATCGAGCACATTTTTTGACTTTTTATTTTGAATCTCTTGACTGCTGATTGTGTTATCTGGTCTAAATGGTGGGTTTTGCTATGTTTTTTGAGATCTTCAACTCCTGACTAGATTTATGAAGTAGAACAATTTGTGATGCTTGTGTATTTTTTAGATTTTCAGGCATCTATGTAATAAAGTAGGACTGATTTGCTTAGCAGATTTAATGCTTTTGACTCGAATATGTTTGTAATTAAATTTCCATATAATTGTAACTTCACAGGAGATGTCGGCTCCTGTTATAGATAAGAATGATGCAGTCACTGGTCACATAATTTCGACAACCATTGGGGGCAAGAATGGAGAACCTAAGCAGGTAAACCATGCTTCTTTTAGGGTTTTTATTGTTTGATAATGAGTACCCTCATTTTACCTCAAATGTATTTAAGGGCGTTGCTTCTTTCTATAAATGTGCTTCTGTTGTTTTTGTTGGTTGCGTAGAGCTGTTCATTTTAAGTGAAGTATATAAGGTTTTCTGCTTCCTTATTAAGGAAATAGTTGCAGATTTATCAAGCCACTAAAGTATTCTGCTCAATTCTTTATTGGGTTGAAATTCTTTTCTCTAAACTTGATTTGAACTATGGAGAGCTAGCTAGTATTAGTTCGCTACACCATCCCAAAAATAGCAGCTTAAGGTATTTTAAATAGAAACTTAATGAAGCATTGGCAGAGGGCTGGAAGACGTACAAACATCTTTATTTGATGAGTAAAGACTGAAGAATGATAGAAGGAGAAAAGTTCATTTTTCAATTCATTGTTTGTTGATTCCGCAGACAGTTAGTTACATGGCAGAGCGAGTTGTGGGGACTGGTTCATTTGGGATTGTATTTCAGGTACTTGTATCTGTGAACCAATTTAATACTAGTTTTTTTTTTTTTTTTTTTTTTTTTTTATGAAACGCTTACATTGCCTTTTGTCATTGAACTTAGGCAAAGTGCATTGAAACTGGAGAGACGGTGGCTATAAAGAAGGTTTTGCAAGACAGAAGATACAAGAACCGCGAACTGCAATTAATGAAGACTATGGATCATCCAAATGTTGTTTCCTTGAAACATTGTTTTTATTCAACTACAGTTCAAGATGAGCTTTTCCTAAATTTAGTCATGGAGTATGTCCCGGTAACCATGTATCGTGCTCTGAAGAATTACAGTGATATGAACCAGAAAATGCCACTCATCTATGTGAAACTTTATACCTACCAAGTAAGTGGCGTATTATGCTGTTTTCTACTTTCGGAGGTTGATGCGTTCAAGATGATAAAATTAATACATCTTTTGTAGATCTTCAGGGGGTTGGCCTACATGCATTCTGTTGCTGGGGTGTGCCATAGGGACCTGAAGCCTCAGAATGTTTTGGTAAGCTTTTTTTATCATTCAATGATTCTGTGAGTTAAGGCGTCTCTTATTGACGTCACCTTGCACTTTTGATAGGTTGATCCGCAAACTCATCAGGTGAAAATATGTGATTTTGGAAGTGCCAAAGTATTAGTAAGTGATTCTCTTTTATGTTCTCCTAGATGTAATACTTCCACATTGTTTTCTTATGTTGTTTTTGGTAAAGAGAGAAATAATAGCTCTCTATCTAACCATATGTTATTCTTTCTGAAACTGTGCTGCTAGTAGCCTAGTTCTATATAATCTACGGTGTTGTCCACTAATGCATCACTGACTGTATGTATTTTTTCTTTTCTTTTCCCTTTTCATATTACAAAGGTGAGAGGGGAAGCAAACATATCATACATCTGCTCACGGTTTTATCGGGCTCCTGAGCTCATTTTCGGTGCAACAGAATACTCTACATCAATTGATATATGGTCGGCTGGCTGTGTCCTTGCTGAGCTTCTTCTAGGCCAGGTGAGTTGCCTCTTATTTCTACAATAGCTGAAGTACTTGCTTGTTTTTCTATTATTTGTCCATCCATATATGATATATATACTAACTGACGTAATAATGCATATTCTATAGCCTTTGTTTCCTGGTGAAAATGCTGTTGGTCAGCTTGTGGAAATAATCAAGGTAAACCTCCATTGTTGTTTCTAGAACTGACGAATAAAATAATTCTAGTTATTCTTTTGACTTTATTTGTCTATTTTCTAGGTTCTTGGTACTCCAACCCGGGAGGAAATACGTTGCATGAATCCAAACTATACAGATTTTAGGTTTCCACAAATAAAAGCGCATCCTTGGCACAAGGTACTTTTACCACATTAATAGTTCTGTATGGTTGGTAGGGCATGTCATAATTCTTGCCTGTTGTTGCCGCAAGTCACTTTGTTTTCAACATAATCTTTATCTTGCCATTGTCTAGCCTTCTGTTAACTGGAAAAATCAGGTCTCTCAGGATCAAAAATTAAATGCAACAGTCTAACCATAGTCATGAGTCTCAGTAGTATATATTTCCATGATTCATTTTGAACTTACCTTTTCAGTAATTAATATGACCCACCTGGCGATGTCCGCATATGTTAGCTTAGACTTACAGAACCACACAATATGGCCAGCCTAGGATAATAAGGGTGACAAATGTAGAGGAAGGCGAGAAAATAGTGAACATAATCTTTTCTTGCATGATCAAAGTATATTTTTGTCTTCTTTATTTTCCTCTTCGTGCCTGTAAGCACAGTGATTTATATATATACTTCATACTTTTTTATGTGCCTTTAAAGTGTCGTATAAGAAGTTGGAGAAGATAACCTTTTTCTTACTTCAAATATATTATTTTGTAAATTGACTTGCCTGTTGGGGTCTGTCATTTTCCCAGGTTTTTCACAAACGGATGCCTCCAGAAGCAATAGACCTTGCTTCCAGGTTGCTGCAGTACTCTCCAAATCTCCGTTGCACAGCAGTGAGTTTCATCTCTCGTTTCTCCAAATTTCATTAATTTTTGTAAGCATAATCTAATATTTAGTTAAAGAAATATTATCCAATACTTGATGTCATGCTAATGTAAGAGTATCCTGTGATGTGTAAAAAAATACTCCCTCCTATTCATAATAAGTGTCGTTTTGGGAAGTTGCACACTAATTAAGAATAATTTTTTTGTCAATAATAACCCTCATTAATGAAGATAGAGATTGATGTTTTAAAAAAAAATGAAGAGAATATGAAAAGACGTAGTATATTTATTAACTAAATAAGGGTAATAATGAAAAAATATGTACAAAAGATCCAAAACGACATTTATTTTGGTTAATAGTTGATAAAGCCAAAATGACATTTAAAAAGAATAGGAGGTAGTATTATTGTTTATCTAGACTGACTACATGTTTCTGATTGCAGCTGGAAGCATGTGCCCACCCTTTCTTTGATGAGCTGAGGGAACCTAATGCTAGATTGCCGAATGGTCGCCCATTGCCTCCTCTGTTTAACTTCAAACAGGAGGTAATTGCATTTGCGTTACATTTTCTTGTTTTGCCAATTGAAAGGAACAAATCAATTTGAATTAGTACTGCAAGAAAATCTTTAGGCTACATTCGGATTGAGGGATTTGAAATCCCTTGATTTCAAATCATTTGAAATTTAAATTTGCTACTTTCAAACTCCTTGAATTAATTTGTGGAAAGGATTATAAATCCATTGTCTAGCTCCCATCTATTTGGTGTGAATCGAAATCCTCCAACTTCTATTATTATTATCCGAATATGTATGGGGATTTGAACTTGTAAATTTGAAATCTTTAGATTTCGATTCCTTCAATAAATCCCTTTATCTAAACATAGCCTCAAATAAATTTGAGGTATAGAGCTGGTTGTTGGTCCGGAATTGTTTTCTGAATGCAGAACTTTTTTTTTTTTTTTCTGTGAACAGAAGTGGTATTTATGCAAGTTTTACAAATTTAAAGATATGGCAATGCAAAACTCCTCTGCTTGAAATGAGATTTTGATTCTCTTCCAAATGGATGTGACTTTTCCGCACACACACCTACGCTTATGAAATATATTACCTTATTTATATTATTAGGTTTTCTGGTTGTAGTTGTCAGGTGTGTCCCCAGATCTCATCAACAAGCTGATACCGGACCACGTGAAGAGGCAATTGGGTTTGCAGTTTTTTGCATCCTACGAGGACATGACGTAAGAATATTGTGATCCTGTGAAGTAAATAGTGCTAGTTGACAATGGTTTAAAGGTACATGATGAGGTCTCTATAAATCAACCTCAAACCATGGAGTTAGCCCGAACAGCTTCATCTCTTGAGCTCTCACGTCGACCAATGAATAGAAAGGGCACCTCTGGGTTTTTTTATTTTGTACCTGCTGTTTTGTTTTTTGTTTTTTGTTTTTTATTAGTTTTTTTTTCCTCCTTTCCACAAAATTTTGCCTGCTCATCTGTGAGCAGCAGGTTACAAGGAAAGAGGGAAAGAAATCCCTATTTTGTGTATATGTTGTTGGTTGCAGACAAGAAAGCATGAAGCACACAAAGATAGAGTGTATGAGCGAATAGGATAAATGACGATGTCCAAAGGAGCAAACCAGACCCAAAATGGTGGGTTTGGTTTTGTTTTTTTTTGTTTTTTGTTTTTTTTTTTTGGGTTTTTTTGGGTATCTGCTTATCTTTTGTTTCATGTGTTACTTGTAGTACATTACGTACTGCTATAAGCTATTCCGTAATGTAACAGCTGAAGTTATGACGAATTGCTTGTTCTCTTTCCACATGGATCTCTTGCGTTCTGGTGTAGCAGATATGAATTTATCGGGCTCGGTAGAATTATACGACTTTCTTAAAATTAAATATAATTCATAAATTGCTTGTTCAATCTCGATTGCTAAGGGGATATTTGTATATAAAATAATTTAACTAAGAAACTCAAAATTTAATTCAATTTTAATTCAATCTTGCTATCTCTAATATTATCAATATAACTATATAATATCAATTCTTCTCATCATTTTTCTTACATTTATATCAAATTAATTTTATTTATTTTATTTCAAATATTGTTTTACAATAAATACAACATTTCACTAACAACTAACTATACGACATTTATCAAAATTAATCATAATTAACAAAAAAAACTCATCTAAATTAATCATAATTAACAAAAAAAACTCATCTTAAGCGTATATATTTGTATCTAATCACGGTTTAATAGTGAAGCTTGGGCAACATAAACAAGTGTTGCTTGCAGTCTCGAAAATAGTAGCTTTAGTCAAATATCATTGTGTATCATGACGCGTCCAACAAGAAGTTAGAGAAGTTAATTAATAGTTACCAGTTAGTTAAATGTTTATTTATTAGTCAAATTCTCAAGTTCTTTTTATTTTTTTTTTTTTCGACGACAAATATAAAATTCCATTAAATTCAAACAAGATTACAAACGCATAACCGTTATAAGACATAAGACAGAAGGTAATAACCACGGGGGGAATGGACATCTCACTCTCCCTTTAAAGCTCTCTCGGCTAAAGAAACAACACAGGTTGAACAGTTCCTATTTAGTACAAAATTACAAGAGACAAAGCAAGACAAAAATACACATATATCTTCACAAATAATGGATCTACAAGCCGCTTTCTTGCCAATATTTTCCAAAACATAAATCAAGCATTTGTCAGCTATTCTGCATTGCACCTCACTCTAGCCTAGATCCCTCACCACAAGGTTGGCCTCCAACTGACGGCCTTTAAATACTGTTGTCCATTCTTGCACTATCTTCCTTTCATGCACCCCAACCCAGTCAGCCATATGGACTTCCATAAGAAATCGATCATTTTCGGCTCGGTTATCGTGGCTAGGTGCTCGACTTCTGCCCATTTAGTGAAGTAGTCGACGGCTACAACGGTGTATTCAGGATATCCTTAACTTTGCTATATTTTTCTTTGTGAGGCCAAGGTAAGGAACCAACCTCGGTTCCTTGACCTCGTAGTCTCTGAAAATCTGTTTGAATTCACTCTATTTGCAAGTCAATAAGTCGGAATGAAGATACAGCAGCACTAACCTTAAGTTCTAGAATAGAGAAAGGTACTTTCCTCCTACAAAGCGAGGGATTGAATTCAGGGTTAAGAGAGGTTACCAAAATGGGAGTATAGCTCTGTGCCTGAACTCTCTCTCACTCTCACATCCGTCTCATTCGAGCATAATGGGTGATTTATAGGATGTCTGGACCTACTGAAGATGGAACTCGAACTCTTTCCACGAGTGAATGCCGGCATGCCACTACAACTTCAAGAAAGAAGGCACCCGTTGTCTTAGGGATTGATAATCACTAGCCTAACTATGTAGGTTTAGACTTGTCTCGGATATAAAGTTATACCCGAAAATGCCTCAAATAGGTAATATATCATACCTGCTATAATAAAGAAAAGTCTCCGTCCCCACTCCCTAAGGTCTTTGACTGAACTTCACTTCACTTTATTTGTACCTCTGCTTTCAATCTTCGTACCCTCTCATTTACATTGACTGTCATTCTTCAGACTTATCCTCATATACTCCCAGCCTCTGACCACCTGTCAAATCAATCCAAAAGAACACCTTAAGTCGGTTAAGTTCATCGATTCTGCCAAGGCCAGCCTCGATAGAAGTGACTCATACTCAACCTCATTGTTTGTTGCGGCGAAGAGGTATTGGACCGAGTCGCAATATAACCTCTTTTGAGGATATATGAGGATAACACCTCCGCCAGTTCTGTTGGCAGTGGAGGATCTGTCCGCGTACATCACCCAAGGCTCACTATTTTTGACTTCTTCGACCCCCGGAGTAAATTTGGCGATGAAGTCGGAGAGGACCTGCCCCTTGATGGCCACCCAAGGTTGGTATTGGATGTCGAATTTCCCAAGGTCGATCTCTTATTTCACCATCCGACCTGAAGTGTTAGGCAGGTGTAGAATCTACCTTAGTGGGAAAACGGTTAAGACAATCACTGAGTATTCAAGAAAGTACGGTCATAACTTCCGAGTTGCGGTCACTAAGGCCAAGGCCAATTTCTGCATTGGTGGGTAGCGCAGCTCGACGTCGTGTAAGGCTTTACTCATGTAGTATATCAGGTATTGACATGAAGCTTCTTCCTAGATTAGGTCAACACTGATCACAACGTTGGTCACCCCCAAACACAAGTACAACATCTCCCCGGGCCAAGGCTTCTGTATTATAGGAGCTCAGCTCAGAATGACTTTTATGGTTTGTAATGCCCCTTGGCACTTAGGGGTCCACTAAAACTTGTGATTTTTCTTAATGGTCTCGAAGAATGGTTTGCGTCGATCCATGGACTTTGAAATGAACCGGTTGAGAGCGGAAAGCTTTCTCGTGAGACTTAGAACCCTTTTGATAGAGGCCAGAGGACGAAGATCTTGGATTGCCTTGATCTTATCCGGGTTTGCTTCAATACCCCTTTGGCTCGCTATATAGCCTAAGAATTTCTGGAGCCAACCAAAAACGTACATTTTTTTAGGATTTAACACCATGAAATAATCATGCAAAGTGGAAAACATTTTATTCAAATCCTTACATGGTAGGATGCATGCATTGGACTTAACTAACATGTTGTCTGCATAAACTTCCATAACATCACCTGTCAAGTTAGAAAATATTTTATTTACAAGTCGTTGACAAGTGGCCCGACGTTCTTCAATCCAAACGGCATCATTTTATAGCAATAAAGCCAACATGCCGAGTAGAAGGAGATGTTTCTTCTTTGTCCGGATGTCTATGAATTTGGTTGTAGCCCGAGTATGCATCCATGAAGCTCATCAGCTCATTTTTGATGTTGCATCAACCTTCTAGATATAATGATTGTCTTTAAGCTTGATGACCTCCTCCTCAAGGGACTGTTGTCGGTCTGGGCCGAGCTTTAATCTTTTTTGGATCGCAGGCTTGCCATTAGATCGACCTGTAGCCTATGGCAGACGACCTTTGGGTCAATCCCGATCATGTCCTTGCGGGTCCACGCAAAAACATCTGTGTTTTCCTTGAGAATCTGGATGAACTCGGTCCTGGTTGGCTCCGGCAGCTTACTCTCGATATGGAGATGTTTCTGGCACATTCGTTAATAAAAATGATCTCCACCTCATCCCTTGGTTGAGCTCACTTAGTTCCTCGCTTATCTTCATATTGTTTTCAGGGGTCGAGCTCGTCTTCCACTCTTATCATCTTTTTGTCGCGTCTCCTTCCTCAGCTTTCCGACAATCTTTCTTTTTCCACCTCCATTAATTTCGAGCTGGTGTTGCCTGAGACAACGAACGTAGAGCTGCTTGACCCTCCTGTTCAGGGTCGGCTGCCGGAATGCCCAGGATTGTTCGTTCGAGTAATGCAACTTGAGTAACACCTGCTCGGCCTGAGACACTTCCTTAGCAATTCCTTCTTCTGCTATACAGGAAATATGGATTTGGATCGAGGAACGGACAATACACACTCCTGAGTTTCTTGATGGTCGCCGTAATGGGTTCCTTGACAATCGGAGGTTACACATTTGAGCGTATAATGAAAGATAGAAATTGCAACTCGGAGCTTGTAGAGTGTCATTCTTCCATGTATATTTGTACTCATTCGGGTGATCAACGATCTTGAATGTCTCCAAGATGGTCCTCTCATTTGAATCCTTTCTCCCAAACCAATTTGGCAACGTTATCTCGCCACTGAAATGGTTATTCGGCCGTAAAAACCTTGGATTCTGTCCCAGCATGGTTTCACCTCTTTTGGGTCGATCTCCATCTTCTTGAAAGTGCTATAGTACGAGATGCTAGTGTAGGCCCCTTTGTCGACTAGAATTCGGTGCACGTTTATGTTGAGGATTGGCTGTGACTCACAGCCTGTGAGCTCTAATGCATTCGAGTGAGGGTGATCGAATAGAAAAGAATCCTTGTCAGTAAACGAGATTGGATTCAAAGTCGTCGAGGTCGCTGGTTGGCAATTGGCATTATGTACCCGTTACCCATCATAGTAGACATGTCGCGTATAGGCCTTGGTCTGCCTTCTGGACTGGGTCAGTCCTCCCCGCGTCCTAGCCATCTCCATCATCTCCGTACAATCGCCGTCGTCGCCCGCCGTCTGACGTACGTGCCTCCTGTCGGCGGATCTCCTCGCTGCTGATACTTCGCCGGCGCCGGCACATACGCCAATAGTTTTCTCATCGTTATCCCTCAGCCGACGTTCCCGCGCCGAATCCAGCTGCGGCTCCGTAACCCATTATTTCTCCTTCGTCCACCCCGAAGAACTCCCTGAAGAGATAGCCGATGGTAAGCTATCTCGACGGAGCACCAGAGGTGTTGGCGGCTGCGAGATACAGAGTCGACAACTGGACTGTCGGAAGTGATGGTGGCGACGGAAGGCTCGTCGGTGTTCGAAGTGGCCGGCGCCCCGTGTGTGTATGGCTGTGTAGGTGCAGGGAGAGGGATGTAGATCTACTGTGTGTGAATGTGTGAAAGAGAGATAAATAAGGGTTGGTGGTGGTTTGTGGTGGGTTCCACATTGTGAGTTTGATTGATTTATAATGACTAAAATATCCTTAATATTGGTCAAATATATACATTTGACCACAATGTGTATGTTAATTATTTATTATACTATTATTAATGAGTGACCAAAGTTTGATTTGATCATGACCGTTGATTTAATGAATCCAATGGTTTATATCTATTTTTATTTCTTTCACTAATTTTCTTTCTTATTTGATCCTAATTCTGCTTGATATTAATGAATATAATTACTTACTGTCGAGCTTTATTTTTTCACTTTCTTTTTTCTCTTTTTCATATTTCATTCCTACAAGGTAGATTCATGTTACAACCACCTAAATATTTTGAGTGTAATAACTTTCTACATATTTCTATTTAGCACGATATAATTTGTACAGATTTGATATGAAAAATTTTCAGTTGTCTGATTAGGAAATATTTATTTATTGAGATGTGAATTGAAATAATAAATTTTTTATATCATATCATTTCACCTTTTTTTTCTACAACTTCATTAACACAATTAAAAAATAAAAATCACATTTTTATATATTTTTCACCAGAAAATCATTATTCACTCGCTCAAATATCAAATAATTTTATATTATTTTTACATTACATGGATTTTAACCAATACATTTTCATCTCACACATATTTAAAATTTTATTCACAATTTTTTTTTAAATCGTACCACAACGCAGTGTTATATAGATAGATACTTCTTCCTTTGTAGGGTGAAATCATGTGAGGCCACCGTCCGCTGAGCATCCTGATAAGGTAGGCTTTGTTTCAGGTCCAATGCCCATCCCTAGGAGCAAGCTGGCATGCGACGTCGTTGGCCTTACTTGTCTTCGGTCAAGGCTCAAGAGAAGATAGACAGTGACATGAGGCCGCGATTATTGCGCCCAGTAAATTCAGTTAATGGGATGACAGTATATAAAATATTTTTAATTTATTTTATTGGATTTTTTTAATTAAAATTGCGATTAGATATTATTTTCGTTAAGAAAATCACTATTAATGTCATTTTAATTTTTCAAATTAATTTTATCAACACGGTTAAATAGTAAAAATCAATTATTACTAAACATTTTTCAACAAAAAATCCATATTTATCCACTTAGACTCTCAATTGGGTAGATAAAATATAATNAAAAAAAAAAAAGAGAAAAAAAGAAAAAAAAAAAAATTGCAAGGCTTGAGGAACAAGGAGAGCTTTCTTATTAAAGTTTAATAGTTCTTAGACTACATTTATTCCCAACTCAATCCAACTCAATCTAACAGTAATAATTTATTTTTATCCTCACAACTCAATCTTTACAACTCATATATCTTTAAGCTACTTTCATGCGTGCTCAACTCAATGGGTTACAGGAAAACGACAAAACAATAAAAATAAATAAATAAAAAAAGAAAAAAGAAAAAAAGGTCATCCAAGTGGCGACCCGAGGTCACATTGTGACTTTAGGGCGCAACCTATTTTTTTATTAGAGATGGGACATTTCTTCTATTTCTGTTGCATAAGTGTATTTTTTAATTTAAAAATATATATAAAAGAATTCATATTCATTCTCTACAAATAGAGATCACTTGATGCGTTTTAAAACACAATTATATTTCAAAATAAATTAAAATAAAATAAATATTTAGGTTGAGTTGAGTTAGAAATAAAGATAAATTGGATTGTAAAGTTTGGTTGTGTATGTGAAAGAAAATAAAATAATTTTTAATTATTAAGTTAGGTTAGATTAGGAAATAAAGATGGTCTTATCCCCAACCCTACCCAAACTAATCCAACATAATATTTATTTTTATTTATTTATTAAATATTATCTACAATTATTTTTTTTTTGTTATTGTTTTAGTTGTGATAAATTAATTAAAAAATCTATAATAAAGTTGTAATGATTTCAAAAAATTATTATTTTACCATAAAATTAAAAAAAAAATACGAACCATATGGTATTTGTTGGAAATTAGAAAACATGAAAGAGATAAAAAATTAATAAGTTATGATTAAGAAAAGAGTGAGAAGAAAGAAATTGCAATTGTGTTCTAAAACCTATCAAATATTGTCTCTATTTATAGAGAATTAAAAAATATGAATTTTGATATTTTTTTTGAATATAACATCAATAATTTAATTTATCTTTTATCTTATCATAAAATTAATTGTGACCAATAAGAATGAGACATGTATCTCATTCCTATTTTCCTATTAACCTTCAACTTGGGTCGTGTGATTTTTTACATTTTTTTTTTTTGTCTTTTTGTTGGTGACCCCAAGCGCTGGGTCACTGATAAAAATAGTCTTATGAAAAAGAAGAAACTATTATATTTTCGAAAATGAATTTCACGCTATGTATCCGAAGATTCTAGTCTAATTGTAAGTATGATATTTTGGAGGAAGAAAATAATTTAAGAGGGGTTAGATTGTAATATCTATAAAATAATATTAATCAATATATTAATTACTATATTATATAACATAAATATTTAAACCAAATTGAATCGTAACTGATTAAATAAACATTTCAAACAAATTAGAATTTACTAGTAATCATCATGTGCACATGCACAGATGTACACAAAATATTATAAGTCATATGTGTGAATTTAATATTAAAATTCTAAATATCACATTTTCAAGATTTGACCATTAGTAAAAACAAAATATATAAATATAAATTGTTTAAGTATATATGAATCACTATATTGATTGAAAAATGTTCGTGGGTAATGCATTTTTTTTTTTAATTTAAAAAGAAAAAAAAAAGATAATATTGATTATAGAATAAATTGCTTGAAGAAAAAATTCGTAGTATAATTTTCATACTTATGTAATTTGTATTTAGTGTCAATTATTATTAGTTGGTATTAGCATTAACTATTTATAATGATAAAAAATATATAACTACACTTAATAGGGTGTATTAATATAAAAGGTAAAAAAAATATTAATGATAAAATTTTGTAACCGAAAATGGAGAGAAATAGATGTAATTAATTTTTATGCATTAAGCCGCGCCTTTCTCTGCTCTGCGACTCAACCCTAATCGCCGCGCCTCGTCTCTGTGATTCACCGTCGATTTGCCTTCCTCAGTGACGGCGGGGCCCGGCCAGCGGTCGCCCCTGGCCGCTCGTCCTGCCTTGGATGTCGTGCGCCCTGATTTGCTGCGGTTCTGCTGCGTTCGCTACCCTCCAATCGACGGCGAATTTGAGTCTCGAGAGGTTGTCCCCTTTGTTGGAGTCCAGTCGGCGATGGGTTGTTTCCTCCCGGCCACCGGCGGACCCCCGATTAGTGATGGTAAGTGCCTCTCGCTCTCTCTTCTTTGCCGGCTGTGGAGTTCCTGTTGGTCATCTCCGTTATCTCCGGCGGAGCTTCCAGTGGGTGGTTGTTGGCCGCCGGAGTACTGCGGTGGAGTTAGGCAGTGTACGGGTCTGAGGATGGGGGAGGCCTCGACTGCTGCGACGTCTCCTGTTGTGGCGGTCGGGGGCTGAGGAACCGTACCACCTATCCCCTTCCCCTTTTCGGCTAGTGGTGTTAGACGGAGGGGGTCCGGGAATCTGATTCTCTTGAGCTCGGCTAGTGGAGTTAGACGGGTTCGGGAGGGACGGGTGGGGTTGGTTGGTTGGTTTTCTCTCGGTTGGGTGTGGGTCGATTCGGGAAATGGCTCGGGGCTCGGTTTCGACTACTGTATAGGCGGGCTCGCAGTTTCGGTAGTGGTTTCTCGAGCTTGGAATCGTTCTTGTGTCGATTGTTTGCTGTTGGTTGGGTCTGCTCGTTTACTGGGGAAGGGCTTTAATTGTTGTTAGTATAGTTTTCAAGTTCTTGTTTTGTGTTTTTTGTATCAGTGTTTGTGTTGTATCAGTGTTTTAGGTTTGGACAGTTGTCTCTGTGAGCCCGAGTGTCAAATTGATTACTCCGTTGGGGTCCGACACTAGGGTATTACCCTGTTGGGGTCCTTGTAGTTGTTTTTAGTTGTTTGTGTTGTTTGTAGTTGTTTCTAGTTGGTTAGTTTAGTTGCGAGTGTGTATTTTCTTCTAGCGTTGCTAGTCGGGATTCTAGGCAGGCTTCTGACCTGTCCTCCCACTTTTTCAGCTGTTGGCTGCTGTGTATTCAGTCGTTGGCTGATGTGTATTCGCACATTAGTGCATTTTTTATTTATAAAATTATCTGTCGTTTCGGCCAAAAAAAAAAAANGAGAGAAACTAAATGATTTTATTAAAATTTTTGCCAACAATCATATATATATAGATTTCAACTCTTTGCACCCGGGTGTCAAATTTATTACTCCGTGGGGGTCCGACACTCGGGTATTACTCAGTTGGGGTCTTGTTTAGTTTTGTTGGTGTAGTTTGTTTAGTGTGGTTGTGTTTTTATTGTTTTCGTGTGTGTTGCCCGAGTATTACCCCGTTGGGGTCGGCTCTAGGCGATCTCTGGATCTGCCTCCCAGTTTTCTAGTCTCTGGTTGTACTATTCAGCCTTTGGCTGCTTTTCTTCGCACTTTGTGCGGCTTTTATTTATATAGTACCTCTACCGTTTCGGAAAAAAAAAAAATATATAGATTCCAACTCTTTCAATCTCCCAGCCATTTTGTCCCTCAATCCGCATGATTGGTATAATGGACTGAAATTTGATAGGAATGTAATGAGTTGAAGAATGGAATGAATATGGGAGAGGAATGAAACAAGTTTTTTCATTGATGTGTTTAGTATGCAGAAGGAACAGTTTTACAATGAAGCCAACCGTTGGCTTTATAGCGGAGCCAACCTTTTATATAAAACAAGTAAATTATACCATATTCTCTGATTACTTAAATAAATATAATAATTTTATTAATATGGTATAATTTACTTTTTGTATATAAAAGTTTTGCTTCACTATAGAGCCAACTATTGGCTTCATAGCAAAACTGGCAAAATGAATAAGACCAGAATGGAATGGCATTATCATTCTATATTATCATTTATCACTATTTTATAGAAAAAAAACAATATTTATATTAATATTATTTTTCTTATTTATTTATTTATTTATTTTTTTACCAAAACGATAGGGTAGCTATTATAACTCAAAAGCGAACAAGATCGAATACATCGTTCAGAAATACATCAACTACATCAACTACACCGAAAAAGAAAAACTGAGAGGCGCACAAATGAATGTGGCCTAGAGCCTCAATAAAAGAAAATCCGAGTCAAACTGACAAAGGAATAAAAGATAACAATGATAAATTTGTTAAACTCACATATACTATATAGTAAATTAGCAAATTGTGTATTTATATACATATTAACTAATACAAATATATCATTAAATAAATCCTTATGAGAATATGTCTCATAAGTAATCGAATATAATGTTTTATATTATCAGTCAATTTATGAATACATATATAATATATATGATGTATAAAAATAAAATAATATATTTTTAGATTATTTTAAATGCATTTTTTTTAGTTTTATTTTTATATAAGAATTTAACATATCTAATTAAAATATGAACAATAAATAAAATTAAGGTTTTAAATCTTTTATTTGAAATTTATTTTTTAAAATAATTTTATTTAATATTATTAAATCGTGATTTATAGTATATATTATATATTTATGTTTTATTATTATTTGCTAAATTTATCTTTTGAAAAATTGATTCCTACAAATATGAGAATGAGAAAACCTTGCATTAGCTATGGAATGGCTAATCCCATGGACATGGGTTTTGCAATTCCTTTTGGAATGATCATTCATTTCAAAAAAAATATACCAATCATGGGATAAGGAATGAATAAGGAAATGATCATTCCATTCTCATGTCATTCCTTCACACCAATCATGCCTAATTCTCAAAATTGTTTTCTTCTCCTCTCAACTCTAGCAGCGCAACAATATCTTCACCCCACCCAAATCGCAAATCACAAACCACAATCTTCATTCCTCCCGTCGTCCTCCGCCTTCGGTAGAGTGTTCTACGTCAGCCCAGTCCAGTTCCTCGACCTCGAGGTCGGCTCCGCCGCCTCTTTCTCGTGTGTTTTCTCTTTCGCCATCGATGGCTCGAGTTCTTGCTCGCCGGCGACGTATTCGCATTTCTTATCACTTCGGAAGGCACAAATTTCACTGGCCTCTACGATGGCTACATTGGCCTCCCGATCGAGGGCTCTGACACAGTCACTTTAGCAGTAAAAAATGGGTCGCCGAAGGCTAAAGGTTGCAATATAGATAAATCGTGTATTAAATGTTGCAATTCAATACAAAAAATTCTTTAATTGCAAATTTTAATTTTTCATATAAGACATATTGCAAATTGTTATATACTCTCAATTTTAAACTAAATATTAGTAGCATTGGATACATTGTTTGTCTTTTTAAAGCTCAACCGCAAGTGTACGGCTTCGCTCGTAGTATGTGGCAAGCAAGGTCGTATCCCAAGCGACCAAATAATTAATATATCAAGTACCAGATTATGATCGTGCCAACTTTATTTAGACGACCGAATATGAGATGGATTAACTAAACTAAGGAAATATAATCAAAGGAAAATAAAGCAACAATAAGGAACTAGCTAAAAAAACACGTAAGAAGATGTAGGAGAACGATAGATTCTAAGACTATGGTTTCAATTAACAGTTGGGTTCCTTCAAAAGTATCACAACCAATGTTTTCTTTATCTCCCCTATAAGATGATCACAAATTTAGCTTATCGTCCCTCTCAAGATCGATAAAATTGTAGATTAAGTCGCATTTATTAGCGTCTCCAGTCAACAAATGCAATTCAACTCCAAATAGATTAAAAGATCTAATATCCTCACAACGACCTACTAATCTCTTGATTCAAGCAAGTAAATTGTGTCAAATATTAAAGACCTAATATTGAACTCATCTCTCGAATTATGAACAATATTGTCAAACATGTAAAAACATTGGCCAATTGCTAAACATGAAGTAAGAACAAAATATTTGAATAGGGTTCAAAAGAAAACAATCAATTATAATAAATTATCCAAAATTCCAACATATTAATCTACTACCAAGTCTTAGAATCAAATAAACTAGCCACTCATGTTCGAATTCAAATACATAGACATATTAGAAATCGACATGATAAATAAAAGTTCAAAAGAAAGAAGAAAGAAAAACTAGGAATCTTGTCGATCTTTCAATCTTCTTAATCCCTTCGTAGTTGGATCTTCTTTTTGCTTCCCAATTGCTTCTCTTGTGTGTTCTAGGGCCTCCTCCTTGTGTATCCCACGTTCTCCCCCTCAAAATAGGGTGATTTATAATGTCCAAACCCTTCTCCTGTTCATAACAGGTAGGATATAAAACTGCCTGCGCGCGCGACACGGCCAGTCTGCCCGTGTCACCGTACATGTCACAGCCTGTGTCAGCTCGCAGGTTACGAATTGTCTCTGTTGAGGTAACACGGCCTCTGACACGGGCATGGTGCCCGTGTCACAAATCTGCACTCTCATTTTTGCTCGTTTCGCTCGTTTCTTCTATTTTTTTCATTCGTGCATCAATCTTTCATCATCTTGGGGGTTTTAGGTACTCACCATGCACCTCCAATAGCCACAAGCTCTACAAATATGTGAAAATATCTACAAAACAAGCACGTGTAATACCTTTCCAACAAGATATAGAATTATAGCACAATAATGCAATTTATACACCAATAATGCAATGAATAAGCTCTAGATACTATATACATATGGTGTAAAATCACACATGAACAAACCCCCAAATTTAAACCATTGATAGTCCCGATCAATGCATCAAACTCCTACCAACACACAAGGAAAAACAATCACAACTCTCAAAGTCAATCATACACATTCTCAATAGGCATCGAGCAAATAACATAACCAAGTTCCGAAATTTTTAAACATAAAGAATGCTTCATCAAAATCATGGTCAGTACCTTCAATCCATAAACCTCACCGGATAAGTGTATACTCTTACTCTCAAAAGTGTATAGGGAAATAATCGCTCAAGTTAGTTCAATGTTGAAAAATTACCATAAGCTTGCAAATCGTCTACTATCTCCACCACTTATTGTGCATGCAATTCATGAATAAAAAAGGACTTTCATTTGGTTGTAATATAGGCTCTTTGGTTAGGGTTGGAAAAATATGGATAAAGTGACGAAAACTTGAGCATCTAGAACTACAAAACATGAATTACACAACTTCATCACCTATTAATCAAGATCAAGCTCAAAACAACTTATCTCATACCTCATTTCAATCAATACTCGCAAGCCATATAAGAAATTCAAAAAATCCAACCAAACCGCCTTTATTTCAGTTAAGGCTAAAATATACGACTACATATACTTATATCTTTTTTTTTTTCAGATTTTTTCTTTGTTTGCTTTTTTTCTTTTTTTTTTCTTTCTTTTTTCTTTCTTTTTTCTTTCTTTTTATTTTTAAACAACTCTTTCAACCTCATTCAACTTCCCCCATCAACTTACACTCCCATTCACGTCTTCCCTTTATCCAAACCACAAACAATAACTCATCCTCTTCACATGATATAATCCTAAATGCTCAAGTAAATGACAAGAAAAATATATAGATATAGCTCAATACGTGGCATTCAAAGAAAATAGGCAAAAGCTCAAAAGGGCTAACTAGGGAATAAAAATATCATTTGGTAAGCTAAAAGGGTCGAAAAGGCTCAAACAAAAATATGCCTTAAATCATTTTCACATAAAGCACACACCATGTGGTCTCGATAAAGATACCAATGCAAGTTCTAGAATTCAATCACAATGAATGATACACTCAACAATAAAAATAAGGCTCGAAAACTCACAAAGGATCATATATTCATGAATTAAAAGCATCAACCAATCATTCAAATTCACAATTCAATCAATTCTCAAATTTCATCACTTAGCACATTATGCCCGAATTCTACATCAAACATGCACAAAAAACTCATCAAGGTGAATCAAAGTCGATCAACTACAACTACTCAAATCCTAAGGAAGCAATAAATGTGCTAAAGCGATAAAACCTAACATGCAACTACATGTTATGCAAGATAATGCAAGATATCTTGTTATCTTCTCTATAAAATTCTCAAATCAAAATATCACATCTCCCTCCCAAACTTGAATGAAATTATATGAAGCACATAAGGGAAGAATAGAATTTCAATAAAAAGTAGAATAGAGAAAACTTACAAAACATCATTGGAGAGGTGACAATTGCTAGTATAGATATCGAAACACATTCTTCGTCATGTAAATCTCTCCAAGTAATGTTCTGCAAGGAAGAAAAACAAATATCAAACAAACAAAAAAAACTTAACTAAAAATATAATAAAAATAAAATAAAGCAGTAAACATTAGGTTGCCTCCCAACAAGCGCTAAGTTTAACGTCTTCAGCCAGACGACAATGCTCATTAGGGAACTCTATATAATGATTTTGATGATCTTCTTATCCTTTTAATTTTGACTTTCTCCGAGTAGGGACTCAATCCAAAAGAGAGCATCATCTTCTCTTCATGTTCACCAAGTTTAGCATCACAATCTGTCTCAAATTGAATGACAAAGACTTCAACCTCCTCATCATATGGAATGACAAATTCAATTGTTATACATTCCGAATTAAAGAATTTCTCTTGAATCATCCCTTCAGTGAGAATAACTGTGGCGGTTTTATCTTCAAAGATGACATCCTCTTCTTCTTCATGTTCTTCGATGGCGATAGAAATTTCTGGCGCACTATCTAATGACAAAAAGCATGGAGGAATGTAATGGAGCTCTTCTTGCGATATAAAAGGTAAACTTGAGAAAGGACAATTCCCCGGTGTGTGTGACAACATCAAGCCACATTCATCACACCCAATGCCTCTTTCCTTGAGTTCTCTTCTACGACGCTTCGACTCCAACTCAACCTTTTTAAGTTCTTCCAACTGATAGTTCAAACACTGCTCATACCACTTTTTATCTTCTTCCGAGTATTTGGTATCTTGGCACCAGTCATAGTATACCGCATCCTCATCCATCATGAAAAAATAAAAGAAAATAAAAATATGTTAAAAAGAAATAAAAAAAATATCTAAATTAAAACCAACACTATCTATCATAATATTGATATAAATAACTATATTGGTCCCCGGCAACGGCGCCAAAAACTTGTTCGCCTATATTTTTAAAGCTCAACCGCAAGTGTACGGCTTCGCTCGTAGTATGTGGCAAGCAAGGTCGTATCCCAAGAGACCAAATAATTAATATATCAAGTACTAGATTATGATAGTGCCAACTTTATTTAGACGACCGAATATGAGATGGATTAACTAAACTAAGGAAATATAATCAAAGGAAAATAAAGCAACAATAAGGAACTAGCTAGAAAAACACGTAAGAAGATGTAGGAGAACGATAGGTTCTAAGACTATGGTTTCAATTAACAGTTGGGTTCCTTCAAAAGTATCACAACCAATGTTTTCTTTATCTCCCCTATAAGATGATCACAAATTTAGCTTATCGTCCCTCTCAAGATCGATAAAACCGTAGATTAAATTGCATATATTAGCGTCTCCACTCAACACATGCAATTCAACTCCAAATAGATTAAAAGATCTAATATCCTCATAACGACCTACTAATCTCTCGATTCAAGCAAGTAAATTGTGTCAAATATCAAAAACCTAATATTGAACTCATCTCTCGAATTATGAACAATATTGTCAAACATGTAAAAACATTAGCCAATTGCTAAACATGAAGTAAGAACAAAATATTTGAATAGGGTTCAAAAGAAAACAATCAATTATAATAAATTATCCAAAATTCCAACATATTAATCTACTACCAAGTCTTAGAATCAAATAAACTAGCCACTCATGTTCGAATTCAAATACACAGACATATTAGAAATCGACATGATAAATAAAAGTTCAAAAGAAAGAAGAAAGAAAAACTAGGAATCTTGTCGATCTTTCAATCTTCTTAATCCCTTCGTAGTTGGATCTTCTTTTTGCTTCCCAATTGCTTCTCTTGTGTGTTCTAGGGCCTCCTCCTTGTGTATCCCACGTTCTCCCCCTCAAAATAGGGTGAATATGCCTTTTATAATGTCCAAAACTCTTCTCCTGTTCAAAATAGGTAGGATATAAAACTGCCTGCACGCGCGACACGGCCAGTCTGTCCGTGTCACCGTCCGTGTCACAG